TTTATCAAAATAAGTTTCCGGTATTCATCCGGAGTCCCCAAAAAATCTCTCAAAGTTTCATCATCCTCGATGTTAAACTCAGCGTAACAAGCAACACCTTGCGGAGTCACAGAATACAGATATCTTCCGATTATTTTAAGATTTACCGAACATTTGCTCAACCTCATTTTATTACATAACAACGATACCGGTCTATCGTACTCCATTGTAAGTGGCAACTTATCATGACTCTGTGGAGATAAACTATATCTCACAAAGTTATTCGCCACCACAACCTCACCCCCTTCCCCCAGTATAATGAAACCCTTACTTTTCGCTCTTCAGACATTATGAAAAAATGCTTGAGAATTTAACAAGAAGAAAAATTTTAACAGGAGTTAGGAATTTTTTTTGAATGTCTTTTTTGTAAAATCCTTGACGCCTTTAAATAAGGCAATGCCTAGCTCGGGGGGTTGAATTTTGTGAGGTATAACGCTCTTTTAAAACGCGTTATACATATTTGAATTATTGTTATGTCAGTTAAGCGCATGAGATTTATTGGTGGGCCCACATAACAGGTATATCGCATTTATTAAAAGCGTTTTATATAGATATGTAACTATATTTTTTTTACACATATTTCGGTCTCCTGTGTCCAAAAGAACCACAAATAGATTCTGGACTCTGATTTTATTATGAGGTCCTACAACTCACTTTAGATTTGATAAACCTATTCAAAAAAACTGAAATAATTATCACAAATATATCAAAGCAGAGCAGTAATGCTAACTTTATAAGGAAAGCAAAAGTGATAATATGGGATGAAGAGCTTTTGGCTAAGGTCATACGATCGAAATAATCCCCCAGAATTCTAGAGATATATTGGATATCGATGAATCGTTTGGTGGAAAACTAAGAATTTGGGAGGTGATTTCTGTCAAGTACGATCAGTAGTTCCAAAATTGACCAAAGTAGAAAACTGTAAAAGCTAGCTTGCCAAAATTAAACCCATGACCTCAAATGAAAAATATTAAAATGACAAGAAATATAAAAGTAAGAACAGATCCAACATTCAACGACTTCTTGTTTCGTGTCGAAACGAAAAAGATCATCCAATAAAAGATGATTTGGTTCGTCTAGAACACTTGGTTATCAACCCCAATGGTAATAGTAGTGCATTTAATTAATAAGAAAAATATTTTCATCATTAGATTAAAACGCAATTTGTGCAAATTACATGATAGAAATTAAAGAGTTATCTTAGCTAACAGAAACAAATATGTTGATCAACTAAATAAAAGACCGATTGTTAAATTCTTTTTCAGTTTTGACTCAGCAAAAGATGATACCAACAAGTTTTCAAGTTCATTATTTCTTACATATGTTAGTGTCACCATATATATAATAGACTAAGTTAAAATTGATCTTCCATTGCATATAGGGTGATTTTGAAAAGAAATATGCCTATCATGCTACTGAAAACATAGATTCGCTGAATAGCTTATGCAATAGTACACATATGATATATAGAAATTTTGACAATAACGTCATACATGTAGAACATATAATACTGGTCAATGTGCTTCTAGATATGTGTTTATCCCCAAATTCAATTCTCGTCTTCCGAAACTACAGAGTATCCTTTTAAATTTGTGTGAAAATAATTTTCAGTATGTTTATGTTTTGTAGTTATAATAAATAAAGTACAAGACAAAAATCCTAAATATTGGACTATATTTACCATAATATGTTTTCTTGCACGAATAACTATATGTTGTACTTTCAAGAGAGATATCAATATCGACAACAAGAGTTCTGGTTATGGCAGAGTAACCAAAGCATTATAAGGAAACATATACAAAAAAAACACAGTATATAAAGAAGTGTTCGGTAATATACCATCACATTAGATACCTTTAAACTACAATACATAATTATCTACTTAACATGACTAAAATTGATCATTTATATAAGTTCAGATGATATCCATTCATTTTGAATTCACGTATTATGACAATGTAACAATATTTTTCGGCATTTAGATAATTGTTGTAGTATTATACATAAAATTTCTCTTATTAATTAAATTTTATTGTTCCTTCATATAAACAAATATTTAAACCATCATGTGCCATTATTAACGTGCAACACACATTATACTAGCATGTATAAACATATATAATTTATGTATATGGCTAGAAAAAGTAAACAAGAATATGGCCGGCTATTTATGTAAAGATCCCAATTTTGACTGAAATTATAATAAATATTACTCCCTTTGGTCCATAATAAGTGACATTTTGGCCTTTGGCATACCCCTTAAGAAAATATTAACTCCTATAAAAATTTTTTTTTTGACTAAATTACCCATAATTAAAATTTGCATAGTATTAACTTGACACGTAGGAGTATGTTAAATAAAGGCAAATTTTGAAAAAACAAAGTTAATTCCTTCTTGATTATGTAAAAGGTCACTTATTTTTTTGACCAAAATAAAAAGATAAAAGTCACTTATTATGGACTAGAGTGAGTAAATATGAACCTATTAATCGATAAGCGGTTGCTTACTCACGGACACCTAAATCTTCTACCGTTAAATATATAACAGGTTCAATTTTAAGATTCTTAAATACTTAACCGTAGAGCTAAAATCCTAAATTCCGTTTATCCAGTTTTCCCTTATAGAAATATTCATCGTTATTTTTCGCTTAAATATGCTCTTTTTACTAATGATTTTCGTTCTTTGAAAAATTAGTCAAGTTGAGTAGCTTTTGATTGTTCCGAAGTATATTTGGACCTTTTCAATTGTTTAAGGACATGTTTCAAATTATTGCAGATGTATATATAAAGCAACTTGATTTGGGAGTAAAGTTGGATATTTTATTTGTTTACGTAGCTCTGCCATTGCAAATGTCAGAACTAAATTAGATAATCATTAGAGGAAAGGGAAAATACGAGACGAATTTACTGGTGGAAAACTCATGGATGGAAACAAATACTTATGACGACATAAATGTAAGATAATCAAAATGAAATATTTTTCCTTTTTTCCCCGGTGAGAAATAAATCTTCTAGGCAAACAAATCACATATTTCAGAACTCCATGAATAATAGATTCCATGAATCAAAAAATGAAATTAGCTTATGAAACGGAGAAAGTACCTATATATGAAACAGATTGAATAAACCGCCCAAGCCTCTTCTGTACAAGTATAGACACAAGTATACTAGTAACTGATTATAATTACCTACTCCACGTGTCCTTTTTTCATTGGTCCTATACTAACTGATTATACAACTAACTAACAGAGAATATTTTATACAAAAGCTGGAGTATGTGCTCCCACGTGTGAGAATCTTCTGGATATAATATCGGCGAACAGCTGTTCCCATACCAAACGGACGTCCAGGATCATAAGCTGCATCTCCAGTCTCCAGATATGGGGCTAGGATGATGCCACGCTGTATGTGCACATGATCGAGATACATTCCAATTTTCTCAACACTCACGAGCCAAAATTCGTTGACTATTTACTTTCACTGTAATTATTATTTTTTTTTAAAACTCTGTAATTTTTCCTCCCACTGACATATTCAAATTCCTTTTTTTTTTTTTGGCAATTCCTGTCACAAATCATTATCTACGTATCTGTACTTAATTTGACGTATATACACATGAGAATGTGTATTTAATATTTACACTATTAGTGTATTTTACCTGTTATATATTAGGTTGTTTACTTTATATTTTAGGTTACTAATTACTGTAGAAAGTTATATATGTTGTTGTAAATTATTTCAATGATATAAAAAGATGTTGCACTTTAACATCATTTTCTATCAAGAACTAAGGAAAAAACTAATATTACATGAAATTAAAGGAAAAGTGATCCGACCGATAAATTCCTTTAAACAGTCACTTTGATCTCAAAGTACAAAAACTCTACTGATCATATGGGTGCGTAGTGGTGGTGAAATGGTTAAAGAACACAGTTAACCACCCATATTATCCATCAAAAAATAGGTTGAATAATGAATAATGATTTTTTAAAAACAGGTCAAATAGGGATAAGAACTATATTATTCATTTAGAAAATAAATAAACAATGGATAAGTAATGAGTTTAACTTTACATTTGTAAAGTTTCAATTGGGAGTTCCTCACGTTTGGGAGACTAGAAATTCTTCCAAAAGTAATCATATTCAAGAAGTCATGGATAATCCATCGATTAATTCATTTTTTATCCGTACTAAATATGAGTCGGGGTCAGATAATTTATCCGCTTTTTATTTCCCACTTTCGACCCATCTCATATCCGACCCGACCCGCCGCTTTGCACCCTAGAGGTCCCTAAACCCCAGGTTCATAAGCGTGGAAAATAGTATGGAAACGGTTGTGTCAGCTTAAAATTGCAAAAATCAAAATTGACTTTTGTATCTGAGAAATCGTTATAACTGAATAACGGATGTAAATTGTTTTCTAAATTCTAACTCCATAAAAAAGTGTAATTAACCACTTATAAATGAAGTATAGTTCTATGTATTAACGATAAAAATTGATTTACGCAATTAGGCTCGTTACATGCACTAACAGTATAAAAATATTTAAACCAATCAGGAAATTGCAAGTAATTTTCTTTAATAAATATTGATTAATAAAAATAGTTCTATTTAATAAATATATCGTTAATAACCTAAAACAAATGATGCATAACCAACTATAACAAATTAAATTATGTTGATGGTGTAAGAAATATATTACTCCAACTTTAACATTTAGCTAGCAACGAATTCACAAGAAACTCTAATAATTATAAAAAAAAAAAAAAGAGAAAACAAAATGAGAAATGAAAAAGAGGAAACACATGCAATCCTCATTGTTACATTCCACTGAATTCAAAATAACCGCCATTCCCTCCTAAATAAAATTCTGTATGCAATCTCTCTCCCTTCCACTTCAACGATCCTCATCTCCCTTCCATTTCAACAATCCTCATCTCCTTTCCATTTCCACAGCCATTAATGGAGAAAGAACAGTCCTCACCCTTACACTCCAATGCCATGGAAGATACAGCCATGGAAGATATAAAAGCAAAGGAAGATGCAGAAGCTAAGGAGGATACAAAAGCTAAGGAAAATGTAGAAGAAAAGGTAGATACAAAAGGAAAGGAAAAACAATCGGCATCTCCATCGCTCCTGCTATATCCCTGTGCAGAACCAGAGGAGGATACCTATGAGGACTTGAAGTTGGAAGTTGAAAGTCCTGCGGTGTACGAAGTAATGCAACGATTTCTCCCATACAAAGTACGAAGTACTGCTTCCCGTGAGGAAAAGGCGGAATACATGAATTCGGTCCTACGCAAGTATCTTCCCGATCAAGGCGACGTAAGTATTACTAGCTAGAATTAACTTTACTTTTAAGTTCAAGTAGATTAATTATCTGTAAAATATGCTGTCGGATCGAGTAGTCAAGTCAATTAGATGACTGTCGCAATTATCGTAAACTAAATTCCGAGTTTCTGATAAAATGTGGCGGCCATAGCTTCAATAGATTAATTTCTCTTAGTTTTATTTGTTTCCGGTTCTATTTTATACTATTCAATGAGTATAAGACCTCATGAGGATGATTTTCCCAATTCGTATGTTATTGGTGTTGGAGTTATGATAATCAATGTATTAATTGAATCTATTTTCGAGTTCAAGTAGATTAATTATCTGTAATATGCCGTCGGAGTAGTCAAGTCAATTAGATGATTTACCGCAAATTAAATTCCGAGTATTTGATAAAATGTGGCGGCCATAGCTTCAATAGATTAATCTCTCTTAGCTTTATATGTTTCCGGTTCTATTTTATACTATAAAACCTCAAGAGGATGATTTTCCCAATTCGTATGTTATTGGTGTTGGAGTTATGATAATATAAATACGTAATGAGTAATTGATGAATCTGATTGGGGGTGGGTGCAGTAGATCTAGGATGTGTGTAGGTGCTGATGAATGTTGGTCAATGCTCTCCTGATCTGTTACGTGTTTGGGCCTTAGGGTAAAGAATTTAGAGAAAGGCTATCCTTAAAACCTAAGGATAGCTTGTAGCATTGATTTGAATTTGTGATTCAATCAATACATTGATTATCTAATATGCAATCAGAGTAGTCCAGTCATTTAGGACCTTTTGGCAGCTAAATACTTGTGTTTTTAACTGTGTTTCTATGGAAGATGCAGAAGCTTAAAGAAGAATATAGGGAACAAATTCTGTCAAACTATCAGGTATTCAACATGACAAACGTTTGCAATATTTTATCGATATTGATTTTCTTTCTTATTAATAATATTCCCTTTAAGTTTCAGCCTCTACATGTGGAGTTGTATACCCTGCAACCTACAGATTTCTTTGTCCATTCATTTCTTAAGGCGATCAATCAGAATACAGAGGAAGGCTACAGGAGTATAATGTCTGAACCCTGTCCAGGTGTTTTTACATTTGATATGCTTCAACCACGTTTTTGTGAGATGATGATGGCTGAGGTACGTACTGTCATGCTTGTTGTTGTTTAACAGAATTTTGTTTCCTTTTTGTTTTCTTATCAAATAGAGTTATAATAATTGCTTAGGTAGAGCATTTTGAAAATTGGATCCGTGAGACAGACCTTGTAGTCAAGCGTCGCAGAACTACAACCACAATGTCGACTTGTGTTAATGATTTTGGGCTTCACCAGATGCTTGACAAGTTAATGGAGGATTTTATATGTCCCATTTCAGAAGGTAAGAGCAAGATATATGAACAGTTTACTAAACAGAGAAGGAGGCTGTATGTTAATTATTCTTTGATACATAACTGTGCAGTCTTTTTAGCTGAATTTGGTGGATCAACACTGGATTCTCATGATGGTTTTGTTGAGTATGGGACGGACAATGACGTTGACTTGAGTATGTAAAATCAGTAGTTACATCAATTGACTTTGTTATATATGCGACCATTGAGCACTATAATTACTTAAAAAATCTGTTGATTTTAATTTTTTCTTCTGGTTTCCATGTTGACGATGCTGACGTCATCTTGAACGTGTGCTTAGGAAAGCAGTTCACAGGGGGAGACTTATTCTTCCGAGGTGTGCGCTGTGAGGAGCATGTCAACACTGAAGCAAAACCAGAGGTAATTATAAATAGTTCAATTTGTATTCTCAAGATGACTAATATAGTCCCTTAGGATCCCTCTATATTTTGGTGAAAAAGTCATACTCCATTAGTAATCAGGTGCACAATAATTGTTTCAACAGGAGATATTTGAATATTCGCATGTTGTGGGACGCGCGATCCTTCATTGTGGTCGCCATAGGCGAGGTGCTAGAGCGACCACATCTGGGCAGAGGATCAACTTGTTGCTATTGTGCAGAAGGTAAATTCCCTTGACTTACACGTTCATATATTATACTAATACTACTGTTCGCTAATTACAGTTACTTTAATTTTACAGTTCCGTTTTCAGAGATTTGAGTAAGTACAAGACTGATCTTTCTGGATGGTGTGTGATGTGCAAGTCTGAGAAGGAGGAAAAGAGAAGGCAAGCAGTTTCTGCTGTCAAAATGGTAGGTTCCTAGTATTGTCATATTTTTGTTTTGTGTGACAACTGGTAAATAGTACTAGTAATCATTAGGTAATGTACTTAAATCGTTCTTCTAATCTGTTTACAGGTGCTGCGCTGATGGAGAGTATTTCATAACCACGAGCAATTTGTCATGTTAGCAGTATACTACATATGGAAAAACATTACTTAGGGTTCAACTTTTGTTCTAATACTAGTGGTGGTACAATCAATACTGTAGAGAAGTCTTTCGTACAAACCAATTCTGGCTCTGTGGCTCGCTTAATTTTGTTCATTTCTTACCCAAAATGAGATGGATGTGCATTCAGTGCAATATGCCTGTCAGGCTGTCATCATAGAACAAGTTCAAACTCTGGTTCATTTTGTTGCATCTCTTGTGTTTTTAATACAAAAATAAGTCTGATGATAATCCAATTGCCTCTAGTACAATGAGTGAGCATTCTGCACAAGCACATTGATTTTTTTCATTTTTCACCCTCAGAGACTGATTTTCAACCTGCAAGAAGCTCTCTTAGCATTTGTCAGTAAGTATTGCAATATCATATCCTAAAGATTTTGATATTGTCAGAGTTTTCGAAACCCCATTTGTTTTTTTCTTTTGTAAATGATGTAACTAGGAAACAGAACAAATGAGTTCCCTTTTTTATATGTTCTTGTGCTCAAACTGAGGCAAAACGCCATTGCATTCTTTATACTAGTTTACAGGGCTTATCAATGGTTTGAATTTGTGGGTGAATACAGTTCTTATGCTTCTATATGAAACCTATCTTGCCGCTTAGTTATAAGTAGAAATGGATTCTATTACTTGTTTGTCCTCGCTCTTCTTTTGATAATTTCGTTTTCACTCTTCGTCCAGCTCCTTGATTACTGAGTTGAATTTATGCTCTTTGTTGCCGATTCTACTTTATTATCTTGTGGTTTTCATTGTATGATAGTTAGCCGTAGACAGTGCACGACTGGTGTAAATGGTTCATGGTCTTTAAGAGAGAATTACCTGATTCAAGTGAACAAGAGAACCAATATATGAGGTGCTTTTTATTTGTTGCAAGCCTCTTGTTTTACCCTTTTAAAATGCGCTAGTAGCCTAATGTATAGTTTCATGTCATATGCAGTGGTAAAAGCTATAATGCATAATCTAAAATGAAACTTTGGAATCCCATAAATTTTGAGGTTAAGACAGGCTTCAAGATTTCCTTTGGTTATTTAATTTCCAACTTCAGTTTTTTCCACTCTTAAAATACCATCTCTATGATAAAGTTCCATTTTTTACTACTTCAGAATGTCCTCATCAAATTAAAAGTCAGGGATAGTGACTATGCTGCTTCTCTAGTTCATCAGTAGAATTCTTCTCCTACTCAGAAGTAAACTTCAGCTCGTTCATCAACCTCACAGTTCTCTCTTCGAAAGAAAGAGACAAGCTCTAAACTTCCATTTTTATTCTCCAACTAACTGAGTACTGAGTACAACTTCCCTTTTTCTGTCTTTACAAAATACTGAAACCATTAGATCAAAAGTGGCTCAAAATTCATGGCTGGTTTGATATTTTCACTACATACCAATTGTAGGTAGAATGGGCCAAGAACTTACATCTTATACAGCTTTGAGACACTCTTAAAAGAAGTAAACAAGACCGACAGACAGCTAGGGCGAAACTGAAAAGTTTAATGGAGAAACGCAGACTACTAAAAAAACAGAAAACTAACATATGACAGATGGTTGAAACACAGGAACTCGACAGAAAAATAACTAAATATCAGAAGCTTGAAGAACTCACCAGAAGATAATAAAAGACTCCTAATCACAGAAACCAGTGGAAGGAGTTCACAGACAGAAAGAGAGAAAAAATGGGATGGTAATCTTTTGTGAACTCAATCCTTTTTTCTTGATTTTACTAGCCCACTAAGAGAATAATTATTTATAAAGTGAAGAAAAAGCCTTTTCTCAAGTTGCGGGAGGATTTTGTAGAAGGGGTTGATGACTTTATTAGACATGCAATGGAACTTCCACCAAGAATAACTAAGACACGGTACCCGGTAGAGTGTGCCTTTAATTGTTCTTCTCATTAGCGACAATGATGATGAGAAGGCAATGGCATGTGAATCAAATAGTGATGGTGTAGGTAGAAATTTAACATTTCCTAAGTAGATAAAAGAAGAGGTTATAGAGGAATTCTCTACTTCATTTTCCAAGAGGAAAAGAAGTTTAATTGAGAGTGACGAGGTTGATGGTGATGGNGTTGGTCGTGGCGGTTCCCATAAAACGGGGATCATAAGACTCTATGATGACAAAGACGAAAGGAAATTTTATTCTCAACTTTCTTCCAAGTATGATCCATAAAAGTTTAATGGAATTGGCGATATTTATTCGGATTCAGACAATGATTTGAGTGACAAAAGTATGAAAATACTAATAAAAAGAATTAAAGGTAAAACATTTTTCTTAGTTCAGCATACTTCTCTACCAAGAAAAACGTTTTACCTTTAATTCTTTTTATTAGCATTTCCATACTTTTGTCAGTCAAATCATTGTCTGAATCCGAATAAATATCACCAATTCCATTAAACTTNGTAAAACATTTTTCTTGGAAGAGTAGGATGCTTCACGTTCATGCAGAGTTCAGCATCCTTCTCTACCAAGAAAAATGTTTTACCTTTAATTCTTTTTATTAGCGTTTACATACTTTTGTCAGTCAAATCATTGCCTGAATCCGAAGAAATATCACCAATCCCATTAAGCTTGTACGGATCAGACTTGGAAGAAAGTTGAGAACAAACCTTCCTATAATCTTTGTCATCATNGTAAAATAAAGTAGAGAATTCCTCTATAACCTCTTTTATCTACTTAGAAAATGTTAAATCCTACCTACACCATCACTATTTGAAACACATGCCATTGCATTCTCCTCATCATTATCGCTAATGAGAACAACAATTGATCAAAGACACACCCTGTTAGGTACTGTATCCAAGTTATTCTCTGTATCCAAGTTCATCTCGAGGATAATCACCAAAGCCACCAGACAGCTTTATGAGGCCAATGAAGCAAAATCATGAGCTATTCCATGAAACTCGTATTGTAAAGAAGAAGAAAGAGACTGATTCAAAAAGGTGGGTCGAGGGTCAAGCCTCGACTATACATGTAAGTTTTTTACTTTTCATTAAGTATTTTGATTTACTTTTATATAAATTTTGAAATACTAATTCAATATAATTTTTCTTATAGGTTCGCTTCACATTTGATGTGGGGGAATTCATACGCAGTCAGCCACCTAATGAATCGGGCGAGGCAATCCAACTTTCGGACGAGGATGCTGAAAGAACACTCCTTGAGTACTTTATATACTTTGAACTAGACAATAGAACCAGTTTTCGAATGGGCTTGTAATAAGCGTTAACTTTGTCGCCACTAAACCCCATATTTCCCAAAAAGCGACCAACTTGGTCGCTATTCCATTTAAAAAAACAAATTTACTGGAAATGTAGTGACCAAAGTTGGTCGCTTATAATTAAAAAATAAATTAAATTCTTGNAATTTTCTGGGCAATAGCGACCAACCTTGGTCGACTTTGGTCACTATTCTATTTAAAAAAATAATTTCTGGAAATATAGCGACCAAAGTTGATCGCTGTAATTAAAAAAATAATTAATTCTTGAAGTTAGCGACCAACTTTGGTCGCTTATTTTAAAAAAAAATTAAAAAAATCAATAATAAAGCGACCAACTTTGGTCTCTAATATCCAGATTTTTAAAAAATAATATTTTTTTTAAAGACCAAAGTTGGTCGCTTTTTTTTGATTAATAATAAATAAAAAAATGTAATTTACATGTGGCGACCAACTTTGGTCGCCAAAATTATATTATTAAAATATTATAGCGACCAAAGTTGGTCGCTTTTTTCTTTACCCGGAATATTTGGTCCTTTTATCTTAGAGACTAAAGTTGGTCGCTAATTGGCGACCAACTTTGGTCCCTAAAGTAAAGGGACCAGCTTAATATCGACCAGGCCTGTTTAGTCGCTTTTTGGCCAATAAGCGATCAACTTTGGTCGCTTTTCCTGATTGCTTTTTTCCGGATTTCTAGTAGTGTATAGCTCCCCTTTGAGATACCACATTAGCTTTCCAAAAACATCTTACAGTTTAAATTGTCTTTACAATTAAGCTCACAGGTTGATCAAGGGTGTTTGAAGGGGATCTCTACTATAAGATATAAAGAAATTTATTTGGTGATCGAGGATTATCTAACAGCTTGTTTCGGTGGTTGTTATCTGTTATATTGTATCGTATTGTTACTTTTAATATAATATTTGTTTTGATTGTTACTTAAATTATATTGTATCGTATTATTAAATTCGTCGTTACGTAACGACGAGAAGTGCCACTTTATGGATGATGTGATTTACAACACTTTTTAAAAAATATTTTTTAAGTCTCTAAATTAATTTTCTTGTAAAAAAAGTTTATAGCCAATTTCAATATCTTCTAATATGATTAATTTTGATATAGTTGGATGAAAGGAACTTCATGTTTATACAACTTCAAGAGTGAAATCGGATACTAATTGTTCCTTTTTTCACTAGAGAATTTACAAAATTAAATTACCAGCTACTTACTTTTATGGAGAGTCAAAAAGTTATTTCTCCGTCTACAATATTTTCAAACTTTTCTCAATATTTTCAGTTACAAAAGATTGTGATCGGTTGTAGACTTGTAGTTTATGTAGTCCTTGCGTAAATAAAAAAACAGCTAAATCATTTTGGAATAATAGAGACGAAATTTTAGATGTTTTGACCACGTGAAATATAAAAGGGGAGGAAATAATCTCCTATATTCACTTAAAATTTAAATAGAAGAAAATATCACTATAAAGATTTTCCGTGCTATGGTTCCCGATTTTATATATTATATTTTTTTATTAATCTCCTATAATAAAAAAAATTATATTATTTAAATAACATACAAGGAAAGGAGTAATAAAAAGCGCCGTTCTAAGTATGCCCTAAAATACGAAACTTTTCCTTGTAAACTTGAAATTAAATTACAAGGCAGTAGAATCCTATTCATGTACCACCAGGTGAAACCCTCATACCCTATTTCTATACGAAGAATCAATCTTTGTACGTATATATATATTGCTGCTGCCAATAGATTTTGAAAGCTTTGTTATATTCTGTAAGGTTTATTCCCTAAAAAATTACTCACTGTTCTAACAATGGATCAGAGAAGAGAGGCACAAGCTAACGAGATTAATGGGAGTCGGAGCAATGAAAACGACGGCGTTTCGTCGAAGGGGCCAGCGCTGCGGCTGTATCCATGTGTAGAGCAGAAGGCGGAGAACTATGAGGATTTAGAAGAAGAATTGGAGTTCAGCCCACACCTATATAGTGCTCTTGAGCGGCATCTTCCGAGCAGCGTCCTCAGTTCATCGCGAGACAATAAGGTCCAATACATGACTGATATTCTCCTTCGCTACTCTCCCCGCGCCGACCGCAGTCGCGTAAGTATAGTACTGTATTTATAATTTTATATACAGTTCTGCATGCATGGGATCATTGTTATATAATCGTCTTTGTTAGTGAACACTTTACCTCCAATGTATGACTTCTCCGTGCGAATTCTGATTTAGACTATTTGATGTAACTTATATATGGGCTAAAGCAATTTTTCAACTTTTTGCTTACGTCAAGGAGATTCAACTGCTTATATGTAACAAAAAAGTTCACTTTTGGCCTATTTGCATACAGTATCAACAACAACCCAGTAAAAGTAAGCAGTTTGAGGAGTACACGGACCTTACCCCTATGGATTAGAGAGGCTGTTTCTGATAGACCCTCAGCTCAAGAAAACGAAAAAGACAATGTATCAGTACCATCAACAGAAACCATAGAAATAATAACAACATTATAAGAACCAGAAAATAGTTAAAACGCAATAACCCATCAACAGAAACCATAGAAATAATAACAGCATAACAGCATTATAAGAACCAGAAAATAGTTGATACGCAATAACCCACACTTTGTATGCAAGTGTTGTTATTTATGTATAAAAATTCAGTTTTACCTCTGCTGATCCGAAAGTTATTTATTTGATCACTAGTATAGTCCATCTGTGGGTGATATATATTTGTTGCGATTGTGGTATGGTTGGATTTAGAGTTTTGAATTGAGGTTAGAAGCTAAGGCGTGTTATACTAAACTCTACAATATTAGCATTCATCTTTGATAAGTTTTTACCATTTGACTTCAGTACAAAGAGGATTTTTAATGATTAGGATTGCCAATCCTTGGAGCTAATTAATTAAGGAGCTTATGGAACAAAAAAGTTGAAGCTTTTCAGTTTGAATTTGTAATAATAGCTGGAGATATTTCTTTGACTTTTGGAGCATGTTGGTATATATATGTCAGTTCCCCAATGTGAAATCTGTCTTTAATTTATCCTTGAAGTGTTAAGGTCTTCTTCCTTTCCAAATTGCCATCCATATTTTATGCCTATTTTTGCTTAATTCAGCTTCTTTTAGTATAATGAAACTTCTTTATTATGCTTAGATCTTTTACCAATCAACTCATCTTGATATCTTTTAACTGTGTTGCTACTACATCAGATGCAGAAACATGGAGAATACAGGCAGAAAATCATATCAAACTATCAGGTACATCACATATTATATGTTGTTTGTAAATAAGCTAGTGTTTAATAAATTAAATAAACATGTAAAGAATTAAGTATTCTTTTTGAGGTTCAGCTTAGAGAGCCCCTGACCAAAAAATAAAAAATAATTAAGATCCAATATACAGTGTTAAGCAATCTCAATCTTGTTCCTTTTTTTTATTATCTTCCCTTTATCTTTCAGCCTCTACACAGGGTGTTATATACCATGCACGCCACAGATTTCTTTGTACCTTCGTTTATTAAGGCAATCAGTGAGAATAAGGAGGAAAGCTTCAGAAAAATAATGTCTGAACCTTCTCCAGGTGTTTTTACATTTGAAATGCTTCAACCACGTTTTTGTGAGATGATGTTGGCTGAGGTACTAATTTAGGATCTGTTTTTCCTCTGCGTAGTGTATTTCTTTTCTGTTTTCTTGTCTAATTGTGATAATATCTACTCTAATTAGGTACAAAACTTTGAGAAGTGGGTTCGTGAAACAAAATTCAGAATCATGCGTCCCAATACTATGAACAAATTTGGAGCCGTTCTTGATGACTTTGGCCTTCAACACATGCTTCAGAAGTTTATGGAAGATTTTATACGCCCTATTTCAACAGGTAACGACTAATTATATGCAGTGTTATCAAAGGCGGGCTTTAAGAAAAGTGCAGAAAAAGTAAAAATATGTATAGGTAGTCCAAGACCAATAATTATAAGCATAATAAAAAATATATGGATATAAAAATTGATAAAAAATTAGGATAAAGTAAATTATCAATTGTTTAGTATCGCATTTTCCGGATTACACTCATTGGCTAGGAAAAATATGCCTTAGAGCCTTGATGCGACACTGAAGCGCTCAACATGTGTTGAGCCTCGGTTCAGGACTTAAGCACGCTTTTGACCACACTGATTATACGAAGGATCCAATGAAAAATTATGAAAACAGATAGGTTAGGATGGATTTACTGTTGAACTTAATCATTCTTTGATATAATTGTGCAGTTTTTTTTACTGAAGTTGGTGGATCCACACTCGATGGTCATCATGGTTTTGTCGTTGAGTATGGGACAGACAGAGACATTGACTTGGGTGAGTATGTAACGATATCTATTCAGTAGTTACATGAATGGACTCTGTTATGTGACATTGAGCATAGATTTTTGCAGTATATCTCAATAGCTTTACTTTTCAGGTTTCCATGTTGATGATGCGGAGGTCACTTTGAATGTGTGCTTGGGAAAGCAATTCACAGGTGGAGAGTTGTTCTTCCGAGGCGTACGGTGCGAGAAGCATGTGAACTCTGATTCACAGCCAGAGGTATTTATTACTCTCTCCGTTTCAAAAAGATTGTCTTAAGTTTGACTTGACACAAATTTTAAGAAAGAAGGAAGACTTTTGAACAAGCCATAACATTTGTGTAACTCTAAAACTTTTGAAACTTTTGGTCTGAAACCTGTCATAGCATTGGGGTTGCTATAAATATTTCCTATTAAGGAAATAGAGTAACAAAGAAATAGTATTAATCTTTTTTAAACATAGGGAGTACTACTATTATTCGTAAGTTGATGAATAATAATTCCTGTATATTTTGGTAGAAAGTGATATTCTACTATTAATTTGGTTCCATGTAATTGATATATTGATCTAGTTCTATATAATTATTTTTTCAACAGGAGATCTTTGATTATGTGCATGTTGCGGGGCGTGCGATTCTACATTGTGGTCGCCATAGGCATGGTGCTAGAGCGACAACATCTGGGCAGAGGATCAACTTGTTGATATGGTGCAGAAGGTACTGATCAATCCCCTGGCTTTATACATGTTCTTGTTGTTCTTTACTGGCCCTCTTGCTTCAAATACATATCATAGAGGCGGAGCCAGAATTTGAAAATCTTTTTAAGTTACTGGGTTCTAAATTAGTAACTAGTACATATTCAATGAATTTAACAAGATAAATATAGGATTTGAACCAAAGCTACTGGATTCAGCCGAACTCGTACGTAGCTGATGGGCTAGCTCCGCCCCTGCATATTCACATCAACGTAGTGACATTTTTATGATAATATTTTAGAGTTCTTGGCAACATTAGAGAGCGTTACGTTTATGTCAGTATACTACCAATTACGACGAATATATGCAAACTAATCATGTGGAAGAGGGTAGTATCAGGACATAGAAGAAGGGAAAACTCTATGACTATGAATATTGAATACCTAATTATTTACACTATTTTTCAAAATATAATAATATCGATTACCTAATTATAGTTACTTTCGTCTTGCAGCTCTGTTTTCAGAGAAATGAGGAAGTACCAAACAGATTTTCCAAGCTGGTGTGCAGTGTGCAAGCGTGAGAAGGAAGAAAGGATACGGCAAAAAGCTTCTATTCTCAAATCGGTAGGTTCTTTAGTATTTTTCAATTTGTTTTTTCTATACCGTTTTATTTTATTACTAATAGTTTTTGACTGGATATAAAGTTAGAGAAATAAAATAAAAAAGACAATTTTGACAGAATTTTATACGCTAGAAAACAATGTCATGTAAAATGGAAGCAACCTCTATTTGATAGAAACTGTCAATGTATACTTTCTTTTGTTGGGGGGGTTGGGGGGGGGGGGGTACATAATCTATCAATGTACTAGGTCACACCTAAGTCCTTACTCCTTATTATAAAGTGGTTAATATACTCTCAAAATTATTTTTCTTATCCCTTTTCAGGAGCTGCGCCTGAGAACTGTATAGCTATTTTTCTTATCCATTTTCAAGAGTTGCAGAGAAGGGTAGGAGAATGTGGAACTTCACGGTGTGAATCCGAATTTCATATAAGTTTTAATATGGGTATCGCAAGGAAATCGAAAAAAGGAAGAACAGAAAAGTAGGGGAAGCAGCTGATGCATAGCTGTTTAGTTTTTTTTTTTAAATTTAACTATGACCTGGTGTGGGGGATTAGCCATCATCTTCAAGGCTATTTTCTTGTAAGTGATATACGAATGGATGTTAGTTTTTGCCATTTGCGGAATTGTTGGGAATAAATCCCCCACAGTAATAATATTCACGGTAATAAAAGCGGAATAATAATATAGCAGTGAGATACGGTAATCAACAAGAATAAAAGAGTAACAATGACACCAAGATTTTTACGTGGAAAACCCTTCTGAATAAGGGAAAAAACCACGACCCCGAGAGGACCAATTGATATCACTATAGTAAGGAATTTTACACTTTGTAGGCCCGAGTAAAATACTACAAAGACCACTACAACACTCAAAAGAAATAACCCTCTTTTGATATTCCTCCTCACTACAATATCGCTCACACTCTCTATTTTTCTCACAGACTATTTTCTTATACCCTGTCTGTGATGCCTCACTCTTTCTTTCTCTCTTTGTTGGTGTGTCTTAAGAAGTGAAAGAGCTCCCCTTTTATAGGAGAGCAAAACTTAGTCTCCAAGAATGCTACAGGAGAATTATTAATTCTCCTCCACAAATCTAAACTTTGGCTCCAAGGCTCTCGCCGAGGCTATCCATAGGCACATGCCTATTTCACTTCTTCTTTCTTTATTCTAAGAATGGGATGGACCCCACAATCTCTCCCTCCAGTCCCATTCACTTGAAGGAGGTAACACTGTGGTTGCTAGTTTGAGTGCATGCCGACAAGTTCTTTGCATAACTCGAACTTGTCTCTTGGTACCACCTTGGTCAACATATCTGCAGGATTCTCACTTGTGGAGATCTTCAGGACTTGCAGAGATTCACTCTCTACCTTTTCTCGGATCCAATGATATCTTACATCGATATGTTCGGTCCTTGCATGGTACATGGAGTTTTTGCTCAAGTCTATTGCACTTTGACTGTCACAATAGACAATATACTCCTTCTGCTGCAAGCCAAGCTCTTGAAGGAATTGTTTTAGCCATATCATCTCCTTGCCAGCTTCTGTAGCGACAATGTACTCCGCTTCAGTTGTAGAGAGTGCGATACACTTCTGCAACCTCGACTGCCATGATATAGCTCCCCCTGAAAATGTAAACAAATATCCAGTAGTGGATTTTCTGTTATCATTGTCACCTGCCATATCTGCATCTGTATAGCCTTTCAAGACTGGATCAGATCCTCCAAAGCATAAACAATCTCCTGCGGTACCTCTCAGGTACCTGAGTATCCACTTGACAGCTTCCTAGTGTTCTTTTCCAGGATTTTCAAGAAACCTGCTGACAACACCAACTGCGTGAGCAATATCAGGTCTTGTGCATACCATAGCATACATCAAACTTCCGACGGCAGAAGAATACGAAACTTTGGTCATGCTTTCCTTTTCCTCCATTGTTGTAGGACACATCTTCTTGCTCAACTTCAGATGACTAGCAAGAGGTGTGCTGACTGGCTTAGCATTCTTCATGTTGAAGCGTTCTAGTACACGTTCAATGTACTTCTCCTGAGACAACCACAACTTTTTGCTTGTTCATTCTCGAACGATCTTCATTCCCAGAATTTGTTGTGCTGGGCCCAAGTCCTTCATGTCAGAAAATCTTTTGTAGTATACACATGGATCAGAATATGTCTTTATGTAAGTTTGACTTTTCGTGAATGAGTCAAACTTCTTGTACCACTGCCTTGGTGCTTGCTTCAACCCATAAAGACTCTTATTCAGTTTGCACACCATGTGTTTCCTTTCAGCTTCTTCAAATCCTTCTGGCTGCTCCATATAGATCTCCTCTTCCAAATCTCCGTGAAGAAATGCAGTTTTCACATCCAACTGCTCCACTTCAAGATCTAGGCTAGCTGCTAAGCTCAAGATTGTACGAATAGAAGTCATTTTGACAACAGGTGAGAAAATTTCATCAAAATCAATACCTTTCTTCTGTTCGAAGCCTTTAACCACCAATCGAGCTTTGTATCTAACCAGCTTGCCATTTCCATCTTTCTTGAGTTTAAAGACCCACTTACATTTGAGTGGTCTTTTACCCTTTGGAAGTTCAACCAGCTTGTACGTGCCATTTTTCTGTAGAGATTCCATCTCTTCTTGCATGGCTTTCATCCACTGTTTCCTTTTTGGATGGGACAACACCTCCGTAAGACTTTCTGGCTCTCCTTCATCACTGATGAGGACATACTCTGTGGAAGGGTACCTGCATGACTCTACCCTTGGCCTTTCTGATCTCCTCAGAGGTTGAGGTTGTTCTTCTTCCTGAGTGGGGTGCTCCACTTCCTCGACACCTTCATCAAATTGCTCCCCCTGCTCAATAACCTCACCAGGTTGCTCCCCCTGCTCGGCAACCTCGTCGGTCCTACTTTCTGCACTTGTGGATTGTTAGAAGTAGAAGGAATAGTAACAAAGTTAGGAATTATACCATTCTTGGCCTTCTCTGACATATCAACAGCAGTTCCAACTTCACTTTCTCGGAAGACTACATCTCTGCTTCTGATGACCTTCTTCTTTACGGGATCCCACAATCTGTATCCGAACTCTTCATCTCCGTATCCAATGAATATGCAGGGAACAGATTTATCATCTAGCTTTGTTCTCTGCTCCTTTGATACATGTGCAAAAGCTCTGCAACCGAACACCTTCAGGTGTGAGTAGGACACCTCCTTGTTGGTCCAAACTCTCTCTGGAATGTCAAACGCCAACGGAACTCCTATTGATCAAGTAACAGGCTGTCTGAACTACTTCACCCCAGAATGACTTAGGTAGTTTAGCCATTCTGAGCATGCTTCTCACTTTCTCAACAATGGTGCGGTTCATCCTCTCGGCTACGCCATTGTGCTGTGGGGTTCCAGGAACTGTCTTTTCATGTTTGATCCTGTGACTTGAACAGTAATCTTCAAATTCTCTTGAAGTGTACTCACCTCCATTATCACTTCGGAGACGCTTTAGCTTTCGACCCGTCTCCCTTTCTACTAGAGCATGAAACTTCTGGAAAACTTGAAATACCTGATCTTTGGTTTTCAAAATATAAACCCATAATTTTCGTGAAGCATCATCAATAAAATTAACAAAATATTTGTTACCCCCCATCAATTCAATTTCCATTGGACCACAAACATCGGAATATACTAAATCAAGTATATTCAATTTTCTTTCAGACGATGTCTGAAATGAGACTCTATGCTGCTTACCAAATAAACAGTAGTCACAAGGTTTTATCGTTGTACCTTTGGCATAAGAAATGAATGATTTCTTGGCAAGAATCTGCAATCCCTTCTTGCTCATATGACCATTCTTTTGTGCCATAAATCTGCAGAAATCTCATCTTGTGTCGCGTTCAATTCACCTTGGCATATTTCTGCATTTGTCCTGTACAACGTGCCACGAGCAACCCCCTTTGCAATCACCAATGATCCCTTGGTGAGTCTCCACTTTTGATTTGAAAAATAGTTCTCGTACCCATCTCGGTCTAAAGCAATTCCCGAGATCAAATTCATCCGCAAATCTGGTACATGCCGCACATCCTTTAGAACCAATGTGCATCCGACATTTGTCTTGATACAAATGTCACCAATCCCCGCAATCTTTGAGTAACTTGTGTTACCCATTCTCACCGTGCCGAAATCACCTGCTACATATCTGCAAAAAAGATCTCTTACCGGTGTGGCATGGTAAGATGCTGCTGTATCAACCACCCATTCTGACTCGGGATCTGACAGGTGCATGCATTCCTCTTCCTCATTTATAAAGAGGACAACATTATCATTCTTTTGCACCATGGCGGTTGTGTTGTCGTCATTCTTCTGGCCACTGCATTCACCTTTGCCCTTCCTTGGATTTGGGCAATCTCTTTTGAAGTGACCTGGTTGATCACAATTGTAGCAATTTCTGACTCTTGATTTGGATCGGTTCTTAGATTTTCCACGAGCTGCGGACCTACCATAGTTGTTCGAACTCCTTTGATAATTCCTGCCTCTACCTTCTGTGATGAGAGCCTGCCCTTGATTTTCAGGCTTCTTTCTCATCTTATCATTGAGTAGAAGAGCCGATGTGACATCTTTCAACTCAATGGTAGTCTTACCGTGTAGGATGGTTGTTGCCAAATTATCGTACGAAGATGGCAACGAGTTCAATAGCAAGATCGCTTTATCTTCTTCCTCGATTTTCACTCCGAGGTTGGCGAGCTGTGTGATTAGTCCGTTAAACACATTTAAATGTGACAAAAAATTCATACCTTCACCCATGTGTAGGGCGTATAACTGCTTCTTCAGGTATAATATATTTGTCAGCGTTTTGGACATGTATAGGCTTTCCAACCTTGTCCCAATGCCACGTGCGGTGTCTTCATCAATGATGTTATTTACCACATCATGTGATAAGTGCAACCTGATTGCACTAGCAGCCCTTTCATCCAAGTCAGCCCAATCCTCAGCTTTCATGGTATCAGGCTTTTTGGCATCAGCATCTAGTACCTTCTGTAATCCTTGTTGGATGAGCAAATCTCTCATCCTTCTTTGCCATGTTGAGAAACCGTTATCTCCGTTGAATTTTGCTACCTCGTACTTTACTCCGGACATTTTTTATTTCATCGAGTATAGTACTACCGACAGTGAATAGTATTTGAGTGAACGAGCAGAACCTGTGCTCTGATACCAGTTGTTGGGAATAAATCCCCCACAATAATAATATTCACGGTAATAAAAGCGGAATAATAATATAGCAGTGAGATACGGTAATCAACAAGAATAAAAGAGTAACAATGACACCAAGATTTTTACGTGGAAAACCCTTCTGAATAAGGGAAAAAACCACGACCCCGAGAGGAGCAACTGATATCACTATAGTAAGGAATTTTACACTTTGTAGGCCCGAGTAAAATACTACAAAGACCACTACAACACTCAAAAGAAATAACCCTCTTTTGATATTCCTCCTCACTACAATATCGCTCACACTCTCTATTTTTCTCACAGACTATTTTCTTATACCCTGTCTGTGATGCCTCACTCTTTCTTTCTCTCTTTGTTGGTGTGTCTTAAGAAGTGAAAGAGCTCCCCTTTTATAGGAGAGCAAAGCTTAGTCTCCAAGAATGCTACAGGAGAATTATTAATTCTCCTCCACAAATCTAAACTTTGGCTCCAAGGCTCTCTGCCGAGGCTATCCATAGGCAAATCATGCCTATTTCACTTCTTCTTTCTTTATTCTAAGAATGGGATGGACCCCACAGGAATAACGATT